AAAAAATCGGTAACTATATATAAGTCGGAAAAACTAATTACTAATCAGTTAACGCTAATTACAAACTAATTAATAACTAATTGCGTCGCGTCCGGTGTGAGGCGGGAAGAGGTCTTCGTGTTCACCACCATCTTCCATGTTCTGCTAAGCTCCCAGCCATCCTCTCTGTTGACGTTATTTTTATGTCGGTGGATCTCTATGGCTTCTCTTGTCAGTCTTTGGTAGTATCTGTTGTCCCTAGCCAGCACCTTTGTTTGTTCGAAGTCTATTCGGTGCCCCTCTGCATGGCAATGTTCCGCAACCGCCGACTGCTGGATCTTCTTCAGCCTTACATCCCTCTCATGCTCCTTGATGCGGAACTCGACGTTGCGTCCAGTTTGGCCAACATAAACCTTCCCACAACTACACGATAGTCGATAGACTCCCGCTCGCGGCAATAGAAAACGCCCTTTCCGATTGTACACTCGTGGGCGGTATGGTTAGCAAATACTCGTAGCATAGTTGAAAATTCTTGCCTCGACAACCGCCTTTCTCGAAAAGGACGTCTTTGATTATTGTAATTAATGAATTTTTTGTTGATGTTCCAATTTGAGGGGGTGATATAGCTCTCGTGCTGGTGGACGTAGACATTGCATTTTCAAATATCCTATTTAATTTTTCTGCTAATGACAAATTATTTGACGCGCACACAAAGACCTCCAGAGCACAGGCTAGCGACAACTCACAGTGTCACACGACTATACCTATTAACTGGATCACCGCCGGTATATAACACCGATTCTACAAATATTGCAAGTCGTAACTCGTTCTAGCCGGTGATTCCCCTATCAATTTAGGTTTTTTACGAATTCGGAGAACCGTTTCGTTAGATCACCCGTTAGCTAGTAGGAGCCTCGAGGTCGATATTTTTAACAGGTTGTAACCTGTTAGTTGTAGTCGTTCTGATATTTTAATTTTTTCCTTAATTTCGGGACTTTTAAAATCCCGGGACTTCTTAGTGGTCCCGGACCTACATTTTTTTCAAGAAATCCCGGGACTAAATACTGGGACTGGACACCCTAGACAGGAGGTTATAGGACAAATCAGTTATTAATGAATTTCCCAGTAATGTTGTCCAATCTTTTTTAATTAGTTCTTCACAGTGGCGAACACTATTTGCCCACATCTCCGGAGTGTAATGACCAAGAGCTTTTTGCCAAGTCTCCTTGACACGACAGATCTTTTTCTCCGAGCTGGACTGAACATGTTTATTGTAATAAGTTTTTAAGAACGCCCAACATAGTTCAATGGGATTATATTGGCAATTGTATGGAGGAAGGCGAAGAACAGTATGGCCATGGTCTCTTATTAATTTGTCAATTTCAAAGGATTTTTCAATTTGAGGCTTGTAATAACGGATTATTTCCCATAACGATTTTTTATTTAAGGTTGGTTCAAACTGTATATTATGTTCAGTTAACCATTTTTTCATATCATTTTTTTTTGTGCAGAAACTTGGAGCTTTCTCGATTTGTTTTGAGTGATATGGAGCGTTATCCATTACTACCGCACACTTCGCACCCAAATTATTTAATGCTGGAAGTAATTGATTTTTCACCCATTCCATAAAAATAATTGACGTCATATTTTTATGATAATCTCTGTGCTCCGTGTTGTCACTGAGCAAGAGATCGCAATTTGGCAAAAACCCTGACGAAGTGCCTGCGTGCAAGATTGTAAATCTTTTTCCTTCGCCTTCTGCTCTTTGCGGAATACCGAATCTTTCATTTTCATTTACCCATTGATAAACTTGGGTGCCATTTTCGTAAATCCAAGTTTCGTCAAGAAAAACAAAAGTATACTCTCCGGATTCTAGGTATTGCAAGTATGTCTTTAAAAATGTAATTCTTTTTGAAACTATATGTGGTTGTTCAATTAACACTTTTCTATTGCTAATCTTTTTATATCTATATCCCATAGATTTTATAATTTTATGTAATTTTGATCTACCATTAGTAAAATCACATTCATTTCTTGCAAAATTAAGTAAATCATTAAGATTAAAATACTGTTTCTTTTCATGCAATTTTTGTATTTGTCTTCCTAACTCTTCTTTAATAAAATATAAATTATTATCCGTTTTGTAGTTCATTTTACAACGCCCTTGTGTTTTTGGTTTTTTTACAGTTTGATATTTTTTGTAGGTTTGAATAATTTTAAAAACCGTCGTGCTGTGAACCTAATACAATTATGTTGAATATAAATTTAATTTTAAAACTCAAGTGCAATACACATACATCAAAAATACGTGAAGCTTTATCACATATATATTTTAAATTCGTATTTGGTGTCTCCGTCTGTACTTCTTCACAATACCTAATTATAGAGTTTTTTTCGCGTTTAGACAGTTGACATCCCGTTCCACCCTTTCTTAACATTTTTATGGTAGATTT